ACTGATGAACCGCAGAGACGCTGCAGCTCGAGGACACACTGCAGCACAACATGAGGAACAACTCGGTGTCCTCCCAGCTAACAAAAAAAGGTCCCCAGAACGTCCCCTAAATGGCCTGTGCGAACGTCCCCGCGAACGTCCCCATGTGGAGTCCGCTTGATGTCCCGCGGACCTTCACGAGGACGTCCTCCGGACGTTCAAGAGGACGTTTACAGGACCACCAGCGGTCATTCGGGACGTTTAGGGGACTTTTGCTTAATTCGTTTTATTTTACTTTTTACCAGAAAAGAGCCAAAGAAGACACGTGAAAAATTGTAAGGAACAAAGTACATTTATTTTGAACAATTGTAGTGCGCGCGTGTGTGAACGGTTTTTTTAAAAAAAAAATTTTTATTGAGAAATAAATCCAAGTATAAAATACAGTATAACAGGAATGCTTCGCATGACAGATATCATATTGACAGATATCACATATTGAAACATGTTTAAACAAATAAACAGGGATAACAAAAACAAAGGAGAGGAAGAACAAACAACAACAACAACAACAAAATAAAAACTAAATAAATATACATAAAAAAGCGCGTGTGTGAACGTGCGTGCGTTGTGTGTCTGGGGTGGGGGTGGGGGGGGGGGTGGGGGGGGGGGTGGGGGTCTGCATGGTCTCTGGACCTGGTTGTCAGCTGTGGCCGGGTTACTCCGATGGAAATCCTTCCTGTTGGCTTCTAACCTAAAATAAAGAAATGAGCAACTATTATCTGAATATATGTTATCGTTGTGCATTTATGTGAAAATGCAAACATCAGGCAGCTTGATCTCTACATATAAGTTCATAATGTAACTCATAGCTTGCTTGGCGACTTTGTCGCACGCAATTTAGACAGCTATACTATTCATTAGGCCAAATACTCTATTCTTGTTTTACTTATGACATCATAGGCTATTTAAGTTAGGCTATCTAATGATATTTATAGATTTTTTTATTATGATCTTCTTTGATATTATTGGGATAAAGACTTTGTTACAGAATATCAAAGGGCATTGATTTCATATGTCCACTGTAAAGGAGATCAAAATTTAAATCATGTTTATCAGCCATTTTGGGAGACCCCATATGGAAATAAATTATACACCAATATTCCTATGAAATGTTAGATATTTTTATTATTAAAATGTTTCTGATTCAAATTATTACACTTGTTTTTTCAAAGAAAAAAGCCCCATCTTATAATCAGCGTGTTATTCAATCGCACGTCAGATACAGAGGACAGAGTGTGTGTGCGTTTTCAGCTTCATCTGTCGTCACTGCTCGTCAATGTCAGAAATATTTGAGATGACCAATCAAATCAAAGTAGGAGGGCTTTTATATATTCACAGACGCTGAGCGCGAATTTTACCAAAGTCGACACGTTTTTACGGGTCAAGTGCGAGATGAGATGTAAGTACCTAAACTAAACATTTCATATTTGACAACTGTTTTATATTATAAATGTTAACGTTATAACATTTTGAACTGAAAATGGGCCGTAACTTGATTCATGACCATTTCACAAGATGTAAACAACACTGGTCCAGAAACACTTCATGTTTCAGTTTGTAACTGTTTTCTTTTATTTCACATGTAAAGAAAACATCTTAAAGATGTTTGTTTAACTTTTTGATTCAGTTTTAAATGTTCTGTTGGTTGTATTTTATCCCAGCTTTAGTGTTAAAAACTGAAACAGCAAGTGCTTCTGGACCAGTGTTGTTTACGTCTTGTGAAGTGGTCAAGAAACATGAAGCCGTTTCATCATAGGCAAAAGATTAAAAATGAATGTTTACATATTGAGAATTAATATAGTAAAATTTGTAGCCATCAGTAAATTAAAAAAGTTCAGCTCTATGCAAAGAATGAATATGACATGGTTTTAAAGCTTTTTCTTATCCTTCAAATGTCTTGAACTTGCATTTTATATGAAAAATGTAATAGTTGTATTTTATTGACAAAATAGTATAGTTTTGCATTGCAGCGTGCATATTTTTTATTAGATCAAATAATTTTAATCTGTCATGGTCATGATCATGGTCAATATGGTCATGTTACATTGTACCTATAATGTAACTCTAATCTATCTAATGTAATCTAACCTATTATAATTGCTAGAATTAAATGTTATGCACTTGCCTGATTTGCTGTTTTTGCACGATCTGGGGCATGTTTCAGGGTCACAGCAATCATTTCCTCCACACTCTGGCTTTTTTGGTGTGGATATGCCTTACTGCATGCACCTTGATACATACAGAGATTACAGTTATTAAAACTTGCACTCAGATAGATGTTGAAAGTTCTAGTAAAACGCTTCAAAATTAAATCTTGTTTTCAAAATGAGTGCTATAAGTCTGAACGCTAAGACCTGAGAACTAACAAATTTTACATTTATACATTTAAGATTAATTTATTTACATTTTGGGGATTGACACATTATTAGTCATTATAAGTGGCAAGTTTTGAAACGTACGTATGATCACATCATTAATTAGGAGCTGCTGAAATTTAAGCTTTCCCTTTCTCCCTTTGTAGCTATAGTGTGTCCATAAAGAGTTATCTCCAATTTTTTTTAACATTCTCCTTATTCCATCTCCCAAGGTGCCTCCACTCTGAAGACACAGATAACGAATCTACAAACAACAAAGAACAGCAATTAATCACAAGAGTGGATTGTTTTTAGTATTTCAGGTTAGTAATGTTAATTGTGTTGTTATGTTACTAGTACTACCATCTTCTTTCGAAGGTCAGCATCCTTTAGCTTCTCACAGAGCTCTTCTAATTCCTCCACAGTCTCACAGGGTTCCTCTAGCACCTCTGTGAGATCAGAGACAGAGGTGCTTGGCTGCCTCATATTCTGCATTCTGAATGCTGATGTGATGTTTTCCTCGATTGCGTCTAGTTTCAGTATGATTCTCCTCTCCAAATTCTCAAATAACTTGTATATTTCTGTTCAGAATTTGTTTTGAAAATAATGACATAACTAACTACAGCAATACAAAAAAAAATGTTTGGGAGACATTTAAAGTTGATAGTTCACCCAAAAATGAAAATTCCTCATGTTGTTCCAACCTCGTAAGACCTTCATTCATCTTCAGAACACAAATTAAGATATTTTTGATTAAATCTGAGAGCTGGATCACTCCTGCATACTAGTCCATAGACTTCTTGAGGGATTGAAACTTGCTGGCCTCGAAAAGTCATTAAAGACATTGTTAAAATAGTCCAAGTGACTTCAGTGGCTCAATCTTAACTTTATCAAACGTCGAAAACACTTTTTTGTGCACAAAAAAGAATGACTTTATTTCAACTATTCATTTACTTCTCTCTCTGCCTCGAGTCAGGCTAATAGTTTAATAACGTAAGCTTCTGTTTTTGTACGTCACACGCATCACACACACATGACCATCGTCGGCCAATTGAGAATGAGGAGGTTACGTCACGCGTATAACTCCGCGGTGCATTTGTGGGAGGGATCCGCCATTTTGGGAGGACACGCTATCCGTTGTCATGGTAAATTCGACCGTGAGACTGAGAGAAATAGCGACAGAGAAGGAGTGCAGCTTGATATTTATTTGCATTTTTGCGATAAGGCACACTTTCTTGGGAATAAATGAAGCAAAAGAAAATTAAGGTCTCTATCGGGAGAGACTACATAACAACACTGAGCAGCGTTATTTAGAGAAACTACTTGACATCAACATACAGTAGGACCCGTACGACCTGCTACAGAATGGACGAAAGACCCGAAGCACTACCACCTTTCACACACCCTGACATAGTCAAGCACCTGGTTTATGGTAACAGTGCTTAACGTTACTGCTACACAATGCAAAGAGTTCAGAAGCTTTTAAGTCATTAGAAGCTTATGAACAATTCTGCTGTGGCTGGGTGCAAGAGAAACCCCCAAACCTGTAACGCTAAACTGCGAGAATTCAGTCAAACTTCATGTTTCAGGCTTCATTCATATGTGGAAATAAATCTGATTTGAATCAGATACGTGCATTTGCACCTGCCATGCAACGTCAAGCAGATAGATAGGACATTCCCCTGTCAATGAGAATCGTACGTCATTAAAAAAAGTGTCTTTTTAAAACATTTCGCGGTACAGATATATCTATAATAAATTAAACAACTCTAGTTGAATAACAGAGTATTCATTTCGTTTGTTTGTGTTAAATAAAAGGCGA